AAGCCCAAGTGTAGAAGGTAGATCCCCTGCTATTGTTGTTGCATGTGTATTTGGTCAGAAGGCTTCCTTGGTGGCCTAATGAAGTTGCTTGGTATCTCGGGCAACCCTGCTGTACTTTGAGTGTGCAAGATGAAAGCTTCATTTTGATTTTCTTAGTGACGGTTCTGAACAATCTATCATTTCTCTCTTTCCATATGCTGTGTACACATGATGACTTGCTGAGAGAGCTAATTTGTGTGGGAGGAAAAGGATGGACTGTGACCAACTGCTCGCAGTCCACGAACTGAGAGAGGGCCAATTGGGTGGAGAAATGTGGAATTTGCGTAAATTTTGGAAATGTGACCAAATATGGTAAGAAAATGAGGGAGGTGGACTCCGAATGTGAGAGACATAGGGAACAAACATTGGGCATCATCAAGAAGTTCAACTGACTTTTGTCAAGAGTGAGCAGTTTATCCAAACAGGCAAGCCATAGGACGAAGATGAACTTGTAGGGTGTGGTGTTTAAACCAAAGGAGTTTAGTTGAAGGAGGGGGTTCGACAGAAGGGGACGTGATATTGCAGCCTTTCTATAGTCGGAGGGTGGGAGAGAGGTTGTTAATGGTGAGAGCTAGAGAGAATGAAGTTGCTCGGTAGCCCACACATGACATGGCTGCAATATCTCGGGCAACCCTGCTGTCCTTGAGTATGCAAGATGAATGCTTCATTTTGATTTTCTTAGTGAAGGTTCTGAACAATCTATCATTTCTCTCTTTCCATATGCTGTGCACACACGATGACTTGCTGAGAGCTAATTTGTGTGGGAGGAAAAGGATGGACTGTGACCAACTGCGTGCAGTCCACGAACTGAGAGAGGGCCAATTGGGTGGAGAAATGTGGAATTTGCTTAGGTTTTGGAGATGTGACCAATTATGGTAAGAAAATGTGGGAGGTGGATTCCGAATGTGAGAGACATAGGGAACAAACATTGGGCATCATCAAGAAGTTCATTGGACTTTTGTCAAGAGTGGGCAGTTTATCCAAACAGGCAAGCCATAGGATGAAGATGAACTGTAGGGTGTGGTGTTTAAACCAAAGGAGTTTAGTCGAAGGAGGGGGGTCGACAGAAGGGGACGAGATATTGCAGCCTTTCAATGATCGAAGGGTGGCAGAGAGGTAATGGTGAGAGCCAGAGAGAATGAAGAGCAGCTGGACCATAGTAAGGAGTAAGAATTGGCTTCTTGGATTGAGAGGTAGAGAGAGGCAGTATCCCTCAGTTTAGGGTTGAGTCTGCAAAGAGTATTTGGAATTCTGGATTGACATTTCCAACATAAGCATATCTCCCAATTGCAGTGCTCAAGGCAATTGTATGGGGGATCTTGAGGTATAGATAGCCACTTTTAAGTCATTGGTCAAACCTATATTACATAGTCTAAGGTACGTTTGTTTTGTACGGGTATGTATTCAACGTATCAAATACCTAAACAGAAAGACATGCCAAATATTCATTTTATTTAATTATTTTATTTTATTGGATTTTGAGGTATAGATAGCCACTTTTAAGCCATTGGTCAAACCTATATTACATATATTTGGGTACATTTGTTCTGTACGAGTATTTATTCAGCGTGTCAAATATCTAAACAGAAAGAAACGCCAAATATTCATTTTATTTAATTATTTTATTTTATTTCTAGAATAAAGTAATCTTTTTATCTAATATAATGTGAAAATATAAACATTTGACTCATTTGAAAATAATAATATAATATAATTAAATTATCGCTTTTTAAGTATATGTCCATAAAAAACTTCGAACACATATTTCGTACCCATATTAGAAAAATATGAATCAGACATGCATGATACTTGAATTGTTGAGATTGGCTTTGAAGGTTGAATTGGTGCTCAGTTGCACAAATACATGTCACTGTCTCTCTATTCAATTTGGTAATTAATACATGTCCTTCTCTATGTCTTTCAAGTAATAGAAGTTATTCTCTTGCCGTAGCATACTATTGCCTAAAAGTTTTCGCCAGTTCTAGAATGAAAATGGCATAGGACAAAATTATGTCATTTTACTTTTTCATATTATAGAATGATTGTGTCGTTAAAAGTTGTGTGGTGTTTTTGAAGCTTTTCACTACGAATATCGCACATTTATTTTATTTGTTTGAAAAAAATGTATAATCAAATTGACTATTTTAGTAAATATAATAACAAATTTATTAAACCAATTGCTTTTTTTCTTACATTAAAAGTGGTTAACTTAGTTGAAAAAGACGTCTAACAAATCGCAAGGGGTTGGCGTAATTGGAAAAGATTTGGACTCTGATGCCTTATGAAACACTAGTAAGAATGTACTCCATTTGTTAATGCGAACCAATTACAAATTACTAAATTAGATATGGTGAGACAATATTATTCTTTGATTTTTTCTGATTTTATAATTAAAGAAGACATCTAATCAATGAAGGCTTAAGTATTATCGATTTTTTAAACTTTTTGATGAATACACAACCCATCTCATCATGTTCAAACTCATTATCATAAAAAAAATTTAAAAAATGCTATTTGTTCTTTAAAAAGACATCATGACCCTATACAAATAAGGATAACAAGGGACTGATTTGGCCCTAAACCCTATCCCGCTCGCTGAGCTATACTTCTTTAAATATATCCACTTGCTTGTTTGGCGGTTGAGATTTCAGTCAAATAAAGGCTAATATGAAGCTCTCCCTTAAAATTTGCCAAAGAATTAATTTGTACATACTTTAAACGATCTTTTTTATCCCATAAAACTAATTTGTGACGTTTTGTTGCTTGATTCAACCATCTAAAGTTTTAACACATTACACATTTTTATCTACAATACTTTGGACACATGAATTACTATACTTTTTGGTTAAAATTAAATACAATACATTTCTTTCTTTACTCCAAATTGTGGCAATTCCGACTTCTCTAATTAGTAGGTAAATTCGTTAAAATTTGTGTGTTTCTATAGGAACCACTTCCTTCAAGAATTCTTTATACTTTTAATATTATAATTGGTGTAATGAAATATTGAAACTCTTTGTACTTTTAATAAAGGTATAGATATAAATTTATAACCGACAAAATACTAAATACATAGAATACTTTTTCCACCCTTCAATTTCCAAAGACGGGCATCGATGTTTAAGGCTTCAACTTTTTAACTCATTGTTTCTTCAAACTTTTTAGCCAAATGCTCCATGTCTCCCGTTCCACCAGGGCTGGCCCCAGGCCTATGTCCCTCAATGTTCATATGTTCTCAAACAACAATTACTTTACAACGGTCTCTTCAGCTTTTGGTCTTGGGCTTCTCTCTTGGCCCATATTTTTGTTTAGCTCTGCTAGTTACATTTGGGCCTATTCAGACTTCTTTTTGTTTTTTCCTATTTTTGACACTGACTAGCTTTTCTTGGGCCTGCCTTGGAGAAATTCTCCTCTAAATTTTGACTATAATATATATCTATTTATATTATTAAAAAAAAAAAAAAACAAATGTGTGTGTGTATATATATATAGAAAAAGTAAAGAAATAAAAGTATCACGTGTCAGTCTTTTTTTGTTATTATTTTTGTTAAATATTTTTTTAAAATTTTTTGATGTAAATTAGATCGAACTCTTTATAAAACACCAAGACCGGATTTTGTTTTGTGTGTTTTCAACATTAATATATTTTATGTGCTTATCGTTTAATTTTAATAAAAATTTTGTATAAATTTTGTTCGTTTGTAAAATCTTATATATAAAAGGTTTTGTAATTTAAAAGCTCGTTTAGAACCTCTCAAAATTTAAAGAATCTAAAAACCGCTCGGTGTGTGCCACTATTTTAATTTCATGCTTCAAACTATTTCATCTCCAACACCATTTCATCTGCAAATACTATTACATCAATATCACTGCTTGACTGTTGCACTATTTCCATTCACCACCTGCACGAGAGACATACCAATAGATATGTTATATATATATATACCTACACACTAAACATTCACTTTTATTTATTTCTCACGTTTATGGTATAGACCCCACAATGTCTTACAATAATTATTATATAGTGTATTCTCTCAAAATAGCTTGGTATTTTGAAAACTTTGTGAGTCACAATTTTCAAAAGAAAAAAATACCAATTATATAGTTCAATTAAGGAGTGTGACCAAAAATTGCCCAATTTTTGTTGTATAAGTTGAATCATGAAAAAAAAAAAAAAAAAAGTTTCAATCACCTTTTAAAAAAAATATAGAAAAAAAAAATTCAATCAATTATGATATTTGTAACCACATAAACAGTAGATAATTTGAGACTGATAATTTGCTTTTTTATTTTGTAACCAGAATATGTTTTCTACCTGTGAATTGAAAAGAAAAGGTTATTTGCACCATGGTAGGAGTAGGACCATTTGTATAGTTGGTAATTTTGAAATTTCTTTAATTATTCAAAATAAAAAAAAATATTTATTACAACAAGAAAGATATTAATATACATCTACAACTATGTCATTTCTTTTTCCATATTCATTTATATAATGGAACTATGTGTTCATTACAGGAACTACTTAGCCTTTTTCACTCTCTCTTGTTTTTTCCAGGTATTAATTTCATAAGCACTCTTTTTCTCTCAATAATAAAAAAGGGTTCTACTAAACATACTATGTGCAAACTAGTATTGCAATTTCAATCTACATATTTTTTCAATTAAGCAATTTTGTAAATGTAAAAAAGAAAAAGAAAAGAGCATATCATTTGTTTAACATGCAAACATCCAAGTTTGTAATTCTCTGTCTTTTCACTTTGACACAAAAACATTCATAATTTGTACTTTTTTGTGTTTATTTATCAATGTTAAAATTATTAATTTAAGTTTACAAGTATTAAACTTCTTTACAAAAGTGCAAACTATAGTGTTTGTCATTTCCAGATTATAATTGATAAAACCAAAGGTAGTAAGTGTTCAGAATTAGATACATATTAAATCACTACAAGGACTGTTAATTTTGTTTTTCCCTTCATTATTTTCATGTCAACATGGTAATAAGCTAACAATAAATTAAAAACTGAAAAAATTACAGACAAAAAAAAAACAAAAACCGGAAATGGAAAAAAGAAAAGGAAAAGGCAATGTGTGCAGTTGAGGTAATCTATGATCGTCTTAAAAAATTAGTGTGAAGAATTCGAACATATGGGATATGAGCTACTTTCCAGTAATCTGCACCTCCTCTGCTTTTATCTAGCTTCATAAGCAATTCCATAGGCATTTCAAACAAATCAAGCTTTTGAAGTTTGGTTAGATGCTCAATGCCCGAGGGTATCTCCTTAACCAATTGACAATCGAAAATATAAAGTTTTTCAAGATGAGGCATTGCGCCCTCCTCCATTGTCACCCTTCTCAATCCTTTTAATCGGGTAAGACTTAATTTCTTAAGCATCGGAAACCCTCCAGCCTTGAAACACAAATCTTCTCCTTGGTAAGCCTGATCAAGTCCAATATTCATCAGGTTGGGCAAATCTTGAAGGGATTGCAGTGGATCATCCCTTAGCTTGCTCCATCTTAAATCTAGTCTCACCAGGTTATCAAGAGAGGGTATCCAATGTGGTAACTTCTCTAAACATCCCTGCAAATATAAATTTCGAAGAAACTGAGGCGGCAAATTCGAAGGCAAAGATTGGACATCAAGGATCTCGTCCTCTCCTGTCGAGATCACCATTAATGAACGAAGGTTGCTCAACTTTTCAATGGAGGAGCACAGAGACATTCCATCTTCCCTTCTCAACTTTACAATCCCTAATCTCCTTAGTTGGGTCAGCTTCCCTATAGCACTCCCACCATCACCACCACTTGCATCCACATAACAAAGCTTTTGCAACGACGACAAATCTCCAATTACCTTCGATACTGCAAAGCCATGTGTACCGTGAAAAGGTGGAATAAATCCTTCAAAAGTCGCGTACCTATACACCAGGAGATGACGAAGTCGTCGGAGCTTCTGTATCTCAACTGGCAACTTAGTAACATGCGTCTCTTTCAGATCCAAAGTTTCAAGATCTACAAGGTCGCCGATAGAGTTTGGAAGCATTTTCACATTGGTTCCCCTCAAGCTTAGATATCTAAGACAAAACAGTTTGAAAACAACTTCTGGAACTGTCTCCAAAGAAGCATTTCTCAACTCTAAAACCTTCAGCAACCTACAATTACCACTAAACAATATTGGCATTGATGACTTGGATAAAGGATCACTCACACCAAGCATGAATAACGAACGAAGCTGGGAGAGTCGCTTGCTTTGTTGTACAATTCCGAAGGTCCCATTATGGATTGATAAGCGTCGAACTTTTCCAGGCGACCTCTCGATTTGTTCACTGGCTATAGTTGCAACATTCTGTTCTCTCGACTTCGGAATACTAATAATTTCACGCAAAAGGTCGTGAATACGACACGTTTTCGCCCTTCCATCAACAGTTTTCTCTGTCACTTGGATCAGACTTCTATTGAGAAGCTCCTAGACATATCCCTCAGCAACTTCTTCAATTGTCAATCCATCTTCACTGACTTGGACAAATCCTTCCGCTGTCCACAATCGAATCAATCTCATACATTCAATCTCATGATCCTCTGGGAAAATGCTCAAATACAAGAAACAAATTTTGAGATACCAAGGCAGATCGTTGTAACTCAAACAGAGTATATTTTTCATGTTCTGAAGCTTATTGTTAGCTTCAAGGCTGCGATGAAGCATATGCCATTCATCAATCCTACTCTGGTTCTTCGTTGCCAAAACACCACCAATCGCCACGATTGCAAGGGGCAGCCCCTCGCATCTTTTTAAGATTCTTCGAGAAATATCCTCCAAATGCCGAGGGCAGGAGGACTTGCCCGGAAATGCCTTTCTACAAAACAGAGTCCAAGCGTCTTCCAAAGACAATGGATTCAAAGAATAAACATTACCACGGGTTTCTGCGCAAGTGGTGGAAGCTATATCTTCAGAACGTGTAGTAAGCACGATTCGATTCTTGGAATTGTTGTCTGGGAAAGCATATTTGACAGCTTCCCATGCATCAATATTCCAAATGTCATCCAACACAACCAAGTAGCTCCTCTGCTGCAAAAATTCATTAATCGCCTCTTTCAGCCTCATAATGTCCATCCTTTCCAATTCTTGGGGGACTGGTTGATTTATTTCCTTGGAGAGCTGTTGAATCATGTCTTTTAGGAGCTCTTCCATCTTGGGTGATTCAGAAACAGTGACCCAAGCATGGCTCTCGAAATGTTTCCTTAGTTCTGCATCGTCATACACTTTCTTAACAAGGGTGGTTTTACCCAATCCTCCCATCCCCACCACAGAAACCACTTTTAGTCGATCTTCCGCCTGATTGACCACAAAACCAATCAGCTCCTTCTTGTGCTTGTCGATGCCTACAAGCTCAGCTTCTTTTAATAGGAGTGCATCACCTCGCGAATCATACCGTACATGGGTGGTGGTTGTGGAGCTGCTTGATCCCTCCTGCAGCAACACGTTATACTTGAGACGGTATCTCCGATGTCCCTCAGCAATGTCCTTGACTCTAGATTTGATGCTTTGGATCTCCCCACCAATTTGATACCGGACTTTTATGTTCTTGAGAGAACCAAAAGTCTTCCGGAAAAAAACAAGGTATCTGTTCCGCTGATGATGATGACGAGGCGTCAAACGGAGCGTGAAAACATCAAGAACGTCTTCGGTGTGGTGAGCAACCTCTCGCACTTGCTTAACCCAAATTTTGATTTCACCGTCACTATCTTCCATTGAATCCGCAACTCTAAGGAATGCAGTCATGCGATCGAATTCAGCTCTGATGTATTCAACTTCTTGGCGAACTCCGCTAAACAGTTTCACCTCTTCTAGGAGAAAGGGTGTAAGCTTGTCTAGTAGAAAGAAAACAGCACTCTCAGCCATTTTTTGTTTCTTTGAAAATTTGTGCTTGAAGGAGTAGTGGTCCAGTGGATAAAGAGGAAATGGTGTTTGGGTATTAGCTGTTGTTTGAAAATGCTGATAAATATTATTGCTTCTGTTTAAAAGAGGAGGCTCTCCAGGTCATGGAATATTATTAATTTTAAAATTAATACATTGGGTGGCCGTAAGCTAACTGTAAATTATTTTTTTCCTCTAAATCATTAAAACATTATTTATATTTTATTTTATGATTGATTCATTTAGCCATTTTGATTTCTTGGACAAATAATTATTATTTGAAGTACTAGTGTGTTTTTTTAATTCTAACGTACCTACTGTACATTGTTTTAAGTGACGCCAAAGTCTTAACTATTTTTTAAAAAGAATAGTTCCATGAAGAAGGTTCATGTCATTATAAAATTGCATAAATATTTGAAGTACACAATTTTATCTTTATATTTATATTTAGAGAGACCTTCTTCTTATTTTTAATAAATGACCTTCAAATTACAAACAAAGCAATCTTGTTAAATTTTGTTCTTCCTCGCGTCCGAATTAATATCAAATATTTTATGAACAAAATAATAAATATAAGTAAAGTTATAAAATGTAGAAAACAAAAGGAATCTCAGAACTTGAAGATGCAATAAAGTTTGAAAGCAAAAGATATCTCAGAACTTGGCTTACATTTCCAGCCACCCATTCCTAATCTTGAAATTGATTAATATAATTTGTGAATAAAAATTAAAAATTGACTAAGATAAAAGTCCAGGCTCTACTACTAAGAATGGGTGTGGTGCGCAGTTTGAATATTTTAATTTTATTTTTATTACTACAACCTAAATTAGAGCACATATGCGATTTTGACTTTTTAATAATTTAATTAATTGTTTTCAACTATTTCATCCCAAAACAATATTGAATATAAAATCAATCATAGATTAAAAATTACATGACATAATATACTGAACTCCATAATTTACATTTGCTGATGTTTGATAAGGAAATATAATTGGTGGTTCAAATGTACTCTCCACAGGCTCTCCATCACACGTCTTAAGAAATTATTATATAGTGGTGAAATAAATGGGGGTTCCAATCAATCTCTGAACATGTAAATTTAAAACTAAATAAATTTGACATAGAAATGACACAATCCTTCAGGTATGATACAAAATAATATGACACACACACACATACACACACACACACAAGGTGCAGCCACATGCCCTCCCACATGTCAAGCTCGCAATTGGTCAAAAGTATGACGCTCCCAATTGACTAAAAAACCCTCCCACTACTACCATATCCTATTCATGCCATTTACATAATAAAAATCTACATGCACTTCATGAAATAACCAAATGACATACCACATAAATAATCAAAATAAAGAAAATAACACTAATCTTGACAATAAAAAAAATTAAATTTGCACAAATGTGGAATGTTCGGAAAAATCGAAAAACAAGAAACATCACATGCTCACAATAATGCAATCAATATACATAATTTATAAAAATAAATTATAAATAATCAAACCATGCTACTTGGTCTATGGTTACATCAATGTCCAAAGAGAAGATTTAGCTACTCATGGAGAAGGAAGATAACATCATTGTCGTTGCAGACATCTTCTCTATGGACTGCAATTTCTTAAGAATAATCAAACCATACAACTTGGTCTACGGTTACATCAATGCCCTAAGATTTAGCTACTCATGGAGAAGGAAGATAACATCATTGTCGTTGCAGGCATCTTCTCCATGGATTGCAATTTCTTCTTAATGTTGTCTTCTTGATTAAAGCCACCAAAAAGTCTCTCCTGTCTCCTCCTCCCTTCTACTTGACATCTCTCTATCTATATATATATATATATATATATGTATGTGTGTGTGTATATATGTTGCAAGGTTTCCTCTCAGAGAAAGGGAAATAGAAAAACCAGGCAAAAGAAAGAAACCCAATTAGTTTTCTATATTTTTGTCAGTTTGTAACGCTGTTTTGGCCTATTTGGAGTACGAATCGAGAAATTTCTATTAGACTCAAAAATGACGAGCTTTGGGCCTTCTTTTCAGAGCCACTGAGTTTGCCAAATTATAAGGTTCGGGTAAAACTTATGCCCAAAACACTGAAGCAGGTGCAAAATTTTATGTTCAAGTCGTTTCCTTATTTGAATAGGAAAGCTTCTTTTCTTCATATAATGACCCAAAACAAATTTTGCTTGCTGGAAAATCCTTTAAAAGTCTTCTAGAATTATCCTTGAATGATCTTGGCCATTGGGTCACCTTGGATACTCTAGCTCTTGTGGTCTTTATTCGTCAATTGAACTCAAAGAGTTTACAAACAACGGGATTGACTGAATTTCAAGAGATTACCTAAAAATGACAAAAATAAAGAAAATAGCACAAGTACTATGTAAGCATCACTAAAGAGTTATAACATGCAAGTTTAAGGGCTTGAATGTACAACATTCAATACTTATCAAATATCCAAAATCATTTTGATCTATTTATGATGGAATTGATAAGTTGTCTCCCAATCAGAATCTAACGAATGTTCTGAAGAATTAACCTTGGAGATTTGAAAAAATCATGATAATGATACCATTTTTTGTCAGATAATGAAGTTGCGAATTCAAAGAATAGAAAAAGAGGAATCAAAGAAAAGAAAAATGGATTTGAGGAAAGACGAAGAAAAATGGTATCATTATCATTATCATTTTTCGAATCAAAGAAAAGAAAAATGGTATGTTCCAAATTTCGGGGACGAAATTCCTTTAAGGTGGTAGGTTGTAATGACCCGGTCATTTACCTTTCTTTCCTTTCTCCGAAATTTCACGAATAAATCTTTTTCGTTTAATTTTCTTTTCTGAGTTCTGTTTCTCGTCACTGAGTGTCGTCTTGAGTACTCGGAAATGATTTCTGAGACTCTTTCGTTCGGATTGACAACTTCCTTTAAGGATCGAATCATTTCCACATTTTCATTTTTTTGACATTATTCACTTTTCGTCATTTTCCCTATTTCGTCTTTTCCCCGTTTGTCACTTTTGGCACAACCTCACTTTTCATGCTCGGAGTTAGTTTTTGACTTCACGTGCCTTCATTCTAAGTGGTTTCCACAAAATACGTATCTTTACTTTTGTAGAAAAGTGCTCTGGTTGCTCCCGATGTTCATAGGGGTATGGATTCATAGTTCTTCAGAATCTTTTTTTTTTTCTTTGGGTATTTTTCCTAAATATCTTTTGAAGATATTTTATTTCAAGGGTTTATAAGAAAATATTTTTGGAATATATTTTCATTCTGGGCCAGTTGGGCAGTTTTCACTTTTTGGAGGGGCCCATGTGTAATTAACGAAAGTTATTGCAAAATACCTCGTTTTGAGTCTGGATCTTCGTACGGGATTCATTTTCACATTTTGTTGAGTCATGTACTCATAAGATTTCTTTCTGATCGTTTTTCTCCAGTTTCAGGGTTTATGACCCCGATTGCCGCAGAACTTGTTCGGGGCATATCTCTTTGTTCAGGATTCAATTTTCGACGCCGTTTCTTTCGTTGTTCATATTTTCTCATTTTGAATCTTTTTCGTTCACGGAGTCTCTCCGTTTGAGCACGTCTGCTCAAAATCCTCTTTTCCGGACCCTGCGGGGCACTTTTAGGGTTTTACTATAAATAGGAGGTTATAAAATTAAAAAGTTATCTTCCCCTCTCTTCATGCACGACCAAAAGCTGCCATGGCAGCCCAAGGGGGGCTACCATGTTCTTTTCTTAATTAAACCTTCTTCCCTTTGTTAAAAAGTCATAGTGCCTTCGTGTTTTGTGTTCGCCTTGATGACGCGCACCTTTCACCCTTTTTAGAATTCATTTCTGACCATTTCTTGAGTTCGGGTTTGAAGTCAAGTTATGATTTTCATGGGGCTTCCTTGGGATTCTTGTTCATCGTGTTGTCCCCAACAAAACCCCGCGGTATCGTCGGATTCGAAGTACTTTTCTTTTGATGGCTTTTGAGATTTTCATCTCAAATTGAGGTAGGGGGTGTTATAATTTATATTCTTGTTATATTACATGCTATTGATGCTTATACAACTCATTTACAAGTCTTTGTATCAAATCTAGAAACTTTAATTAATTATTTCTTTGTATAAGATTTAATTTCCCGGTTGCTCATGGTTTGGTTTAAATATGTGGCATGATATTATATTACCCCTTGATATGGTCATTGACATATATTAAATTGAGAACATTTGAACAAGTAATGAAGATTTTATTTAATATTTTTCTTGAATGAAAGATTAATTCATATGGCCTTAACTAGTTTGAAATTAACATGTGTTGTTATATTATATTAGGCCCTAGCATACTCTTCAACATAGGTGAATTTAAGAGTAATCGGAGATGTTTTGAAATCTAGTAATATTTAATTAATTTGATTAATTAATTTATTTCATGTGCACTATTCATTCCATTGGATTTCTGACTTGATATTCTTGATGTGCATGCCATATACTTTCACATACATTAAATCGAGAATATTTGATTAGGTTTTGAAATCTTTGCTTTAATTATTTTCTAGTATTAAAGTTTAATACTCATGGCCGTACCTTGCATGAAAAATTCTTGTAACGTGCTTTTAAATCAAGTCTTGGCATGTTGTATAACATATATTAAATTGAGATCATTTGGATGAATTTCAAAACTTAGGGATTTTAATTAAAAGGATTAATTAAAATCAATTCAATGGCACCTTGGTCTTGATTAAGTTTCTAACTTAGTATTCATGATTTCCTTGACAAGTTCCTTCACGTGTATCAATTTGAGAATAATTGGATAAGTTTTGAAACTTATATTTAATTATTTCCTTTGTATGAAACTAAATCCACATGATCGTGTCTTGTATGAAATGAACATGTAACTTGATATTGAACTTGTCCTTGACACGATGCTTGACTTACCTTGTAATCTTAACAATTTAATCCCTTCAGTAGATTAAATTTCCTTATATGCTTCCATCGAGTTAATCTTTCCTTGATATTGAATTCTTGTTAAGCTTGTGAATTTGACTTGTATTTCATGAACTTTTATCTTTTTATCAAGTATCGTGACCCCTTGTACCTAGG